CAAGACGTATTCCACGGTCATTAACTTATTGCCCAGTACAGTGTTCTATTACCCTGAGCTGTACAGAAAGCTGTTGGGTGTATATGCGAGGAACATTGTTGACATAGATAAGACAATTGTAATATCTTTATTCCTCGGAGAAAAAGCAGGATAATGGAGATAAAGATGCGACGATATTTTGGCAACATGCCTTTATCGAAACACGAGCAGAAGTGAATTATCTTCACATTGTGAATTCACTTCTATTGTTTCCGTAGAGGCGTGTTGCCAAAATATCAACTCATCTATATATCCATTCTCCTGGCTTTTAGCTGAGGAATAAGGCTATTAGTACTGTCTTATCTGGTCAGTATAGTCAGGGGGGGGGGGGGGCCGAACCTAGCCGGAACTAGGTCTGGCGATCCCACGGTGACGTCATTATTGGAGTGCCCGAGGGCATTTACGCGTTTAAGTCCAAGACAACACTGATATTTTGACAATCATTCTCGAGTGTTACTATGGCGTTTTTTTTCCAACGAAAAGGGTCTCAAGACGTTTATTGGTATGTCTCCTAGCCATACCCGTACAAAACAGCTGTGGCTGGTCACATATTCCAACACAAGCCCGGATCACTGTACCATGCCTTGCATCCAATAAAGGCGACTTTTACCACAACGTGGGATGATTATCATCCCTACTCACATATTGTTTCGGACGTGCGGTCCAGATGCGGGCTGTTTCGAACCGGCGACAGGTATAGATGAAGTCAGCTGAATGCAAATGAGATATTTTAGTGTTCAACCAATACGAAGGCGATAGCAGTTGTTTTCAATGCTGAGAAAGGACCTAGCATTTTCATAGCCAGATGACCTGAGGCGTGGGAAGGACAGATGTAATGCAATTTAACCTGGTGTCTGTAATAACAATGTCTGGAGTGCCTGTAATCACGTGTTTAGGGTCAAAAGCGATGGTTTCCATTAGTTCATTTTCTGAGATATTGGAGATTACGTCCCCAAGCTATGGGAAGGTCTACAACAGTCATGTTTGCGCTCCCACCAGTCATGTTTTGCACTCATGGTCTCTAAAACGTCACCTCTCAACGCCACAAAACAACACATGGGTGTACAGCAACTCAGCGGAGGAGTCCACCTTCTTTACACCGTTCGGATTTGATTTTTACACCGTGCACAGGTCCGCATAATGTTTGTCACGCGCGAGGTGACGCACAGCATACCTCGTGCACCTGCCAGGAAGGCGCTGAGAGTAACGAACACTGTCGCCTACCTTCTCTAGTGGGCTGCTAATGCCGCTATGCCACAGAACCGCTGCATTGAGAACAGCCAGGTCACAGGAGACCATCTCAGCTCGGTAACATATTATCGCCACCTGTTGCCCCAGCGCAGTCAGGTCCAGAGAAGAAACTTCCGCTCCAGCGCAGTCCGGTCAGATGACGGGCCTCCTCCTCCGGTGCAGCACATGACGAGCCGCCTCCTTCAGTGTAGTAGATCACGGGCCGCCTCCTCCGGTGCAGCTGGGCCACCGCTCACCTTGCAAACTGACGCCTCTTCAGCCTCTCGCGGTGCTGCAGAGCTTCCTTTTGGCGCATTCGGTTCAGAAAGCTGAGCCGGATGAACGTGCGCAGCCGAACAAACGGCGAACCACCCGGACATCCAGGGGACCTGGCTCCGCACAGGGTCGCTACCATCGACTCGATGACTCTCGGGCAGTGAGAGAGTAGGTCCGGTTCGAGATGGTGACTTGTGCAGAAGGTCGACTCCATGGTTTTGAATTTCTCCATCCACTTGGTGGTTGGGACACTCATCCCGCCCTGGCTGAGCAGCGGGTCCACATGGTCTGGACCGGCGCCGTTTCCGCGGCAAATGCCGAAGGAGTCCCGAGGCTGGGGTCGACTTTTCGGCACTTGGCTGACAGTAGCCGGCCGCATGGGCCATCCCATACTGCTCGGCCGAGACGCCAGTCTTGGGGTCTGTTGGTGATACAGTGGAAGGCGATGGGGTCGGTCGGCTTTGGTTGGCTTCTTCCAGGAGCGACTCAACCTGTCCCAGTCGCCAGTGTCTGCTGATTCTTGACAAGATGCTCCTACCAGGAAATCAGCGAGGATAGCGGTGTCAATGGGACCACCGTCCTTCATACTGCGTGATAGAGGTGCGGAAAAACCGCGGCGGGAAGGAGGCAACTGCGGTCAGTGGTTGCAAGCCCAGCCTCAGTGCGGTACATCAGCGTCAGGCTGGCACCCGACAACTTAGCATCTGGCGGGACTTGGATGCAGGCTCGAACCTCCCTTGCCCACGCACCAACCCGAAGTACGATTCAAGGATGTATTGTGGTTACTCGGCCCGTCATTACGTAGGTAATATCGGGCCGAGGACAGACACAGGGTCACCCACAAGACCCTGGAATGGAACTTGATAGGCGACGATGAATCCTTTTTGGAACGACAGTAGCAAGAAGTTTCTTGCCAAAACGTCAGGCAACATGACCGCCTTCATGTCAGCCAAGCGGCCTTGTAGTGGGGGCCCGCACTGTCAGGGTTCATATGCCACAGCAAGAGCTGTTTCAAGTCTGTGGGACACTACCCGTTAAGGGGCGTCGAAAACCGTAGTCAAACACGCACAGGTACTGCGCTCTTCATGCCGGTTCGTAAAGGTGTCGACAGCTGTCACTACGGACTATCGCTGAGGAGTTGGACGGCTGGGCGACTCTCTGGCGCTGCTGTCCAGTCACCTGGAATTAAACAGAACAAATTTAGCTGATTCGTTGTCACAAAACGTTTCGTGGTTACAACACCAACTAATAAGGTCCAAACGCATCGATACCATTATAATCGCATTATATGATCATTGCAGATAACTACCACATTTCAACCGGGGAAAATTGTCCGTACCTCCAGATGGCTTTCCACGCCAAGCTTGGGAAGGACCCGAAACTCATTGTCGCCGTCGATGGCCAACACATCAGTAAACAGCTGTTTATTAGTTCGACCACCGTTGGGAAGGCGCAGGCCGTCGTCAAGCAGGTGGTTGCGCAGCAGCTTGTAAAGGTGAGGCGTTTCCGCGAACATCCGGATGTTGCTGAAATGAGCTTATTTGTGTCAGCTTTCGGAAAGATGCATTGCTAGGACACATGCAGAAGTTGACGGGTATGCACATGACATGGTTATGACTGGTTGCGATACGGCAAAACACTTTTTACTGGTTGGAATATGGCAAATCGCATAGATATAACGCAACAAGTGAAACAGCCACGAATTGTGCGCCTCATCTTATATAAACTCGGATATTGATCGACTAATTCTCTATGCCACATTTTGTTGATCGCATTTTCATAGATGTCGCTCGCAAATGAGCCAAGCTTACTTGGCTGCACGGCATCTTTTTGCGCCGCGGCGGAACGGCGCCGCCCGGTGTCTCGGCTGACGCCGAGTTTTTGTTTCCCGACTTCACAATTGATGCGGCTACACTTTCAGTCGCATGGCGAATTTGTCCAACGCACCGTTGCCCTGCAAATTGCAGGAGACATTGCCAGATGCCGGCGCCTAATATAACAACCGCTTCTGTCAAAAGTGTTCATAATCTGACGTTGAAAACAGCATCGGCGTATTGGTCAACTCATTCTCTATCCCACACTTTTGTTGATCGCATTTTCACACATGTTGCTCGCAAATGAGCCAAGATTAGTGGTTTGCACGGCAGCTTTGCACGGCTTACGCCGAATGTTGCTCCAAGGTTAACATTGGAGCTTTGCACCAAAATCTAGACACCGGTGGGGGTTGCAGCGACACAGGAATGACGGTTTACCATGCGAAATGGTGCGGGTCACACGTATCACGTGGCATGGGCTCAATGGTGGATTTTGCTCTCTTCCACAGGTTTGCGCGTGTCGTGTCACTCTCGGCACCCATGGCACGACTACACTCGGGATTGGCGTACTTCGCTGATGAATGGAAAGAGCGAGATGGTGTTTCACCCTTCGATACAATGTAATGCTGTGTAACACAACGGCAGTGCTACCATCGTTCAAAAGGCTGACAGTTGATAGAAGGGGCAAAAATCCCATGGAATAGGTTTGGCTGTGTTGCAGAGAGCACGGCGAAATGCGCTCTCTCCTGCCGGCGGCCGCCAGAGACCGCCAGTACCGCATGCGGCCTGCGGCAGAGTCTAGACACCTAAAAAACAGATTGCTGGTGCAGGTATTGCAATAAAACCTAGAAACAAAAATGTTGATGTGACTCCTCCTAGGCCCAATATTTCAAATCGGGTTTATAAAGAGGCGGTGGGATGTTTTACCATACGCAACATGCACCTCGAGTTAGCACACGCCGTTTGCGGGAACTTCTTCGAGAGGTGAAGGATGGAACTGGAGTGGATCTCACGGGCGATTAGGTTCCTCTACTTTTAGGGTGATGTTGCTTATGTAGGACATTTCTTGCAAGCTAGCACGTAGCATAAATTATGGTTCATCAGCTGACCTGTGTCTGATTCAAAATAAATCGGTTAACGGTACGTCAACCAAATTGCATTCGGATGAGTAGCATATAATGGGTTTCTTTGCTAAGAAATCCTATGCGTATCGTAAATCAAACCCTTGGCCTTTCAGCGCTGGAGTAATAAGCGTCACGCGGTCCTCTCAAAGGCCAAACTAATTTGTTTCCGTTTAAAACGTCATCGGAGGAAGGAGGAAGCTACTGTCACCTCATGGTCCATTAAATAGCGTCGGGTTCGTGTTGAGACATCGCTGTGGAGCATCTCACTGGAGTTCTTCACATCAAAATAGGGCTGAGAATTCGATATCAAGTAGCCTCCACCACGCACTGTTCAGCATGGAGAAGGCCACCTCTGCCAAGGCTATCACTGCTCTCTCCCAGCCAATTTTCCAAACCGCCAGGTCTACACCGCGTTGCAGAGTGCATCTGCGTGCGGTCAGCCGGGTCAAACATTTGCTTGGTCTTCACGAGTATAAAGAGGGAGCAGGCTCATGTGGAGGCATCAGTGTCTCTCTTTCAGTGTTCAGAGAGCTACCCAGACGAGAACCATGAAGCTGTGTCTGTTTCTGGCTGCGCTGGTAGCTCTGTCGGCCGCCGCCGAAGACAAGGAGGCTGACCAAGAGATCCAGGCCAGCGGGTACTCTTCCGTTTTGGCAGGACACGGCAGGTACTTTGCTGCTAGTTCTTCTCAACTTACACCTTGCCTTGGTGCATTCGCTTCGCGTATATCTCAAAATAAGATGTGGTTCGAAGTCTTATCTGCTCCTTCCCGCGAACATCATCACACGGCTACCTGATTCAGCCAAAGTGCCAAATATGTCCCAAGCCTCTAGTGCCAAATCTGGAATTCCGAAGGATCGGACAAAAAGGAGCAGAACCATGAATGTCTTTGTGGCTATCAAAATAGCTGCAACTTCTTACTTTGCGGATGATATTGCCTCAACATCATGTACACAACGTAAAATCTTAAATCGGTGCAAGGTGGAGAACATAAACGCTTTCAAAGCAAATGCTACGGCTCATTCGATTTGAATGAGCCGTAATGAGAATCAGGTCTATCAGATGAGCCTGATAAAGTATGATGAGCATGCCATATTATTCTCCGTGCATTTCAAAACCGATGTCTCTTCCACGCGGCAGGACGAATTTATGTACCAGTCAGATAAGCGCTAACGTGGAAAGTAGCGAAATAACAGCGTTAGCATAAAAAGGGCAATTTATTTATGGAACGCGAGCCCACTCGTCTGTTTTTGGTGTTCACGGATCATGATGTCTGAAGTGATTGCCAAAATAGGGCACATGAACATGTGTTGGACAGCATCTGTATCGGCCTGTGAAATATTTCACACCGTGGCTAGTCGTCGTTCTGCATGGTGGGAACGAAACGCCGGCCTCGACGCTGTTTCCAGGTGTGGACCAGTCATGACAGAATGCTTATAACTGTTTGACACTTCTGCCCGCCAATGGCGTTAGCCATGCACCCAGACGGCCTTGCTCTGAGCAGTGGAACATTATCAGAACAGAACTAACGCACGAATACTTGCCTCAGGAACGGCTTCCGCAGAGGTCGGAGCTTCGGCGGCTACGACAACCGGGCCCTCGGCTACAACGGCAACTACGGCCAGAACTACAACAGCCGCTCCGGACGCGGTTACGGGCGCAGCTTGAACGGCTACGGAAACTACGGATTGGGATATAAAGGATATGGTGGCTACTACGGCAACAGCGGCCTCGGCGGTTATGGCGGATACGGTCGTTCGTCAGCAGCCTACGGAGGGTACGGACGTCGCCTCGGAGCTTACAATGGCTACAATGGGCGCTCCGGGGCCTACGGCGGCTACGGCAGGCGTTCTTCCCCCTACAGCCGGTACGGCGGACGCAACGGAGCGTATAACGGGTATTATTGAAGAATATGCCCACGGCAACGGCCTGAAGCCGGTTTGTTGACTACGCACAAGTGGTGTTCCCGGGACCATTATGGCTGTCTCGATCCTGCGAATATCAAGTATGCGCCACGTCTGAAACCTCCTGTTTAATGTCGCAGTGTCTGCTGTTAGACGGACCCCGTCGAGTTCCCTCAATATTCTCTATGCTTTCTTTATCATGATTTTGTGTGTTCTGGGCGTGTCATTCTTTTGACACACTGAAACGCCGGAAACAAGAATACATCGTTTGCCAGGAATGCTTCGTTTTCTTGGATAATAATGACGGACATCGCCTGTACGGCACGGCTTATTCTATTTTATTTACAAGCGTGGTAGTTGAATTAGAGGGACCGGAAGGGTAGCTGACAACGCATCTCCTCATGTTAATTTGCTAACAATAAGATCAACGAGAACTAATCTATTGCAGCTACAAACCACACACATGGCTGCCTAATATTTCATGAAAAAACAAGTTCATGCGATCCGTAACTCACGCCCAACTTAAAAAGACAGACGACGGAGGACACAGACGGAAGGTAGGTGTTCTTCTCTGTACAGCTTGAGTACAGAAACACATCACGGAGCACAGGACCACACAGGTGTCGGTGCGGCGTCGGTGCGTCCGTTGCTGCATCATGCAGTAAGTGCGCTTCATGCAATCGGCCGACCCGTGCTACACCAACACCTTAAGTATGATGATGTGCTTTTCATCCTCTGCCTCGCGTTCCTGCATTTTAAGGAAGAAGGCAAGCTACAGTTGGGATTGTCGCTTACGAAGCGACATCCTGCTGCCTCCAGCGGGCAGAGAAAGAGACCACAACGACCATCTTCACTTTCTGTCTTCTTCCAACATACATATCCGTCTCGCCAGGGAGTGCACTTCGCCGCCGCGGACTGAGAAGCGGGTCGATCGCACGCGACCGTCCGGACCAGGCAACACCTCCGACACGCGGCCGGGCAGCCATGGCCCGTGCGGCGCGTCGTCTTCCACCAGCAGGACCAATTAACCCGCATACCAGACTCCTTGCCTCGTTTGTCCACTTCTGGCAGTCGGCCAGACCGGGCACGAACTGAACCGGCGTTTCCAGAACTGGTTGGCTAACGCCCTCAGTAGGCGGAATTTCTTCTGCTAGCCGTTATGTCGACCAGTCTTAGTGACCAGGGGACAAAAAATTATATTTCGACGAATCTGAAGCCGCAGTGAATATCAAATGTGGCTGCCGGCAAATCAGCCATGAGCGGCTGACAGAGTCTGTCGTGTCGTTATCGACGGGCGATGAAGGCGTGCACATTCTTCCTAACCGCTTCTCTCGCTCACAGGATCCAGTATTTCTATCGCGGGCTGTTGAGAGCGTGATCCGCCCTTGCGCGCACCAGCTTCTGGTGAGCGGCCGCGATCAGCAGCCACGTCCCACGGCTGCCTCTCGGCAGGATCAGGGGTTGGCGAGCTTCCTCCGGCATCTCTTGGCAGACGGCCAACTCCTGGCAGAAAGCCTCGTGTTGCAGTTGGTGAAACGATGACAGATCTTGCGTCTCGGAGCTCAATCGCGGATAAGGGACGGGACTCGTTTTATTAGTTGGGACTTTTCTAAGATCTTATAAAACGCATCAGAAAGACGGGTTGGACTTGTGTTAAATGCCAGAGTTCTGTGCTCTAAGTTTTAATGTAAGTGCAACTCGACGCGTAAGATTTGCACCAAAACCTGTAAACAAGGGCTCTTTGAATTTGATTTTAAACTTGGAAGTTCTATCTTCAATCTTAATTCGAATATACCTTCATTCGTATTTTCTGGTGGCGAATGAATCACTCAGTCCAAATAAGACACCTGTTGCGACTGTGCCATTGGATCCAATGTTGCTGCGACGAACACTGATCTGCCGTCTACTCCATTTACTGTGTATGCTGCTGTGTTTGCTTGAGTGGTGTGGAAATATCCAACTTTTTAAATCCATGTCATCCTTAGTTTGGGTTTGCCGGCCTAGCGCCGGACGGCCTAAGCCAATTATAGCAAATATGCTGCGCGGTAAATCATATAGTAAATCCATATGAAATATAACAAGTCCAAATAAGGTAAATATGTTGTACCGGACGACCTGAGCCGATAAAAGGAAATATTTTGTGCCGGGTTCCCACGTAACCGGTTTAACGTCCCCACCCCCAGGTAGTTTCGGAAGATCGCTTGGGGATAACGCAAGAAGAACACTGGCGCACTCAAAAAGTTATCGGTGACTGGCCCTTGCCGCCCGCTGTGCCAATAATAAACGGCTTTTTAGACGTCATTTATGCTAGTAACGGTGCCGCTTTTCGGCCCGCAAACCCGAAATGTGCGTGTAAAAACAGCTAAAAAATGGGATCTCTAGCATGCAACAGCGTAGGCTACGTTCCTCACAACTAGAACTTCCTGATGCAGCGAAACTTCAGCGTTTCGACATGTGCTCTGCACAAATTCACGCTGCAAGCGTCACAGGGTAAAAACGAGTACCAAGCGTCTGTTGCAATCTGTTTTTAGTTTCCATATTGTGATTGTGTCCATTTGTGTGTTGCAGGAGTGATGGCAGTTTGGTTCATTACATCTTCAGGTTTAGGTTGGTTCAGTGATTTTGGTGCTATGTGTTTTGGGCCCAAATGCGGTGTGTGAACCCTGTCCGTGTCATGCCCATGTATTTGGTGGGAGGGATGCCCCAAGTGCCGTGAACTTTATTAATTTACCGGACACTTAATATGTGCATCTGCAGCAGTTGCACGAAAGTTATTTTCTTCGGATGGCTTCCGACCACAACGCAAGCAATTCTTTGGTGCTAAATGAATGATGGCCTTTAGAAACGCGCGTCAAAAGCAGCGATTCATAGAAATATGGCGGTATTTTTCCTGATGGTGTCCTTTCACTGTCGTGCAAAAGTGTGGGACGCAACACGCAGCTACGGCGCCAGCTCGAGGCGGAATAACCTGCTCGCAGCGGTTCCCAGTTCCTTTGCGACCCTGACAATTGACTGATACGAAATATTGACAGAAAATACTAAACTTTTGTTTTCATTTACCGACTTTTGCTTTTCTTTGTTTTCCTGATGTCATACGAAGGTGAAACAAGTACAATTTTCCTGCCTTTTGTATACACCTAAGTGATGTTCCTGTGGTCTGGACTATTGACCAGCCTCGCTGCAGAACTGAACGACTGCAAACTCAAACCGGATTTCATAGAGATTTGACTAGTTCGCTAACCGACAAAACGCGTTTGATACACACCAAACATTGACCAATTGATAGCAAGTAAAAGAGACAGTTTAAAGCTAAAAATCATTTTTAACGGACAATTCAAAACTGCTAAATCTCTATTTTGCCATTTTTGGTTCGTTTTGGTTTTGGTTCAGCTGCGCTCAATAGCGCTAAATTTCAGTCTTTTTAGTTTTGATACCTCACCAAGTTAAATTATCCTGTCATGCTTGGCATTGGGACAGACCTGGCGCGGCTAATACAGAAACGTTTGCGAGCGAAATTCGGCGCTTGAGATCTGGTCTCTCAAATCTTCAGCGGAGGGTTCCTATCACTGATTTGAGGTCGTAATTTTGAATGCTAGTGGCTTAGATAAGTTCTTATTTTCTATGGATGGGTTAGATGACACTGCCTGTTAGCAGACGATGTGAAAGACGCTAACTTTTTGTTTCGGGAGCAGAGAGAAGCTCACCCTTAAAGAAATAGGGATTTTACCGTTTGGGGCACCTATTTACTTACTTTACCTATGTC